GGCGGTGGGGGGCTTTTGTTGAGGGGGGGGGCAGCAGTGAGGGGCATCTCTGACATGTGAGCAAAATGTTAAAATGGCACACAAATAACACTCAGCAGAGACAAACAACTGCTGTCGTCAGTCACTCGCTGCATTGCCTGCGCAACACAAAAGCATTGTTACAAAACTCTGCAGACGCTTCAGTTAAATCCTAAAGCTTGTAGTGACTTGTACGAGTGTGGCTGTATTTATAACTACACAGACAACGAAACATTTTCAGTTCCCTCACTGCTGATTCTCACCTTAACAAAAGGAAATCATTGATCGTCATCGCCGACCATTGCCAAGTCATTTTACATCTAGAGCTGAAACGATTAGTTGATGAATCTATTTATTGATTAATGAACAGAAAATTAATCTGCAGATGCTTTTGTGACAACCCGATTTATTATTTGTCATTCTTCAAAGCTTTGGACAAAACAAGACATTTTGAGACGTCACCCTGGTCTCTGGGAACATGTAATGGCCATTTCACCAAACAATGACTCCATTAAATAAGAAAACAATCACCAGATGAATGCAGCCCCTTTATAAAGTACATCTATATTTTAGAAGATGTGCAACACAATCTACTAATCCTTCACCACCTTCCAAGGTACCCATGACGCACAACTGGAAAATGAACTCAACTCTCTTTGAAACCATTTGTTGCCCCTTTTATTTATATATACACTAAACTGTCTCTACTCACTTTGTCCTGCACCAACATCCTGTTTCAGCCAGAAATACATAAAAGAACAAATATAACTTCTAAAGCTAAATTAGAAAATACATGCTGAATCTCTTAAAGTCTCTTAAATAAGCCATGTGTTGCATTGCATATTTTCTAACTGATTACTAATATTACAGTTAACTCTTGCATATGTGGGAGTGAGGCATTCAAGCTCACAAATAGTTACCAACCTGTCTGAGTTCATCTGACTAACGTGCATTTTCAGAATGACTGGTATTTGCTTTTAAGTTTTAGGAGGTTGCTGACCTGCACCTCCCATATTCCTGACTACAGCCAGCAGCAGTTTGTCTCCAGACATCAAACCTGGGACACAATGTCTTAGTGAATAAATGATGGAGTGTTAAAAATAAAGTGAAATGATTAGGAATAAAATAAATCGTCTGAATCTGTCACTTCATGTGAGAATTATTGGCATCATCATTAGACTCTTGTGCAGACCAAAGTACCTAAATCGAAACAAAAAGGAGTTCCCAGAGTCATAAATATGAATTATTTATTAAATTATGAGAAATAGTCCAGCTAATAACCCCCGATACATTGGCAATATTTTGTTTTCGCACTTTGGTTTTCGATAGAATCAACTGAAATATAACATGTTCAGCAGTGAGCTTTACGAGGTGCTAATAGTCGTATGTACCTTCAGACATGAACCCATGTTTCCAGTCTTTATTCTAAGCTAATTAGCCGCTGACTGCAGCCTCACATTTAACTTACAGACATGAGAGTGTATCAATCTTCTCATCTAACTCTCTCCAGATCAAGCAAGAAAGCTTTTTTTCCCCAGATTTCAAAATATTCCTTTAAACAAGACATGTTAAAATGCCAAGTGAAAGTGCTAAAAATGTATATAACCTGGACAGACAGAATGCATGTAGGACACACAGGAAAAGAGAAGAGACTAAATTGAAATAAAAAGATGAACAGAGCAGCTTGTTCTCATGAAATTATATTGTTTTTAAATCTTGATAATTTGACTGAAATGTATCATGAATCTGATAACCGACAGTGTAACAACAGACAGACGTTCTGCTGGGTGGCATCTGCCTGTGTGAGCCCCTATGTGCAGTAGTGTGTGTGTGCGTGTGTGTACACTCGCAAACTGTGTGTACATGCTGTGTGCGGGGATAACAAATAAGGGCAGGATGGAGGTTTGACTGCAAAGGGGAAGAGGGAGAAATAAAATACTGAACAGAATCACGGTGTCAGTTACAATCTGGACACTCAGCACATTCTTGCCATATCACACTCACTCACTCACTCACTCACTCACTCACTCACTCAAACACACACAACATGGGCGATCAAACCTGATGTCAGTTTACCCTCCACACTCTTAAGTTGAAAGAAAACAAAAGCAACAAGGTAGTAGAAGTTGCAATGATTAAAAGAAGGAATATAAAAAAAATGATGGCCAACGTGTTGCTAAAGTGTCTTTTTGGTCTGTGAAATTGTGACTTTCACTATTTGCTGACTTTGTCTTGATGTTTGTTGAGTCAAAGTTAGTCAAAACTAACTTTGACTCATTCTACTTGTTTGGTCTTGGGCTGCAACTGATGACTGTTTTTGTTATTGATTGATCTGCATATTCTTTTCTCGATGGTAAATCAGCAGAAAAAGAAGTGAACAATTACCATCACAGTTTCCTAGAGCCCCAGGTGATGTTATCAAAGATGTTTTGTCCAACCCAAAAGTCTGAAACATTAAAAATATTCAATCTACTAATGGAAGACAAGGAACTTTATGATATTTGACATTTTTTCCTGAAAATTTGCTTCAATTAAATCAAAATCTTGAAAGTGTTTCCTTAAGTACAGATGGAGATCCTGCATTATATTGTTTTATGTACTCATATTGAGGTGAATCCGTTTCAAAACATTACAATATTTGAGCTTATTATTACTGCTATTCATCTGGCAGTTTTAAAAGTTTCTCAAATGAATTTACTAGAAAAGTAAAATATGATAATATGAAAATAAAAAAAATAAAAATCACCCACCAAGAGACTCACCCAAAGTGATTCATAAATCATAGGGCTGATGACTAACTTACCCCTATGAACGACACACACTTTCACATCCAAACCTTCACTGTGAGACGATAAATACATGAACGTGAAGCTTAGTCAGCTAAATACATTATCAACTGAGAAACCTTTAGTTGATGAGATTTCACAGCTGTACTCCTTAATGATGAACGATCACTTAATTTGAGGTATTTTGTCCTGACCAGGAAAAATATGACTGAATCAGCTAATTATGTCTAAAACATCTTTACCTCACCTTTACGCCAGACAATTTATTTTTTGAGCTCATCCCGACAGTCTTAACTTTTTCCTTTCTCCCTCAAAATGTAGACGCAGGGAGCTGACCCGTCGTTAGGTGCGCGCACACACACACACACACACACACACACACTTTGAGAGTAGTGGGGGTTGAACAGTTGAATGGTCATTATCATTCTTCCCCGTAAGTCAACAGATGGATCTACAAATGTTGTAATCTTCAATGTTTCTTGTTGCCCTTACAGGGATTCCACTGCAGGAGAGTTCTAGTTGAACCCCATATTTCACCTCCTCAAAAAAAAAACATCGAAAAGAAAATAAACTCAGTGGGGAAATGAACAACTCTGGCGCCCTTCATCATCTCAACTACAACCTCTGTCAGCCTCATGGTCTCAGAGATGTGAGCAGATGTGACACAAACAGCTGGAAGATGTCAATTCTGTTAATGGACTTTGTGTCGTCTCTGGAGTCCAGAAGCGAGTTGCAACAAGTTGTTTCGTTCCCTCTACAGTAGTCACATATGCACCAAAGAGCCCCACAGGGTTGCGTCTTCACACACACACACACACACACACACACACACACACACACACACACACTTCCAAAACAGGATTTTAACTGTCACAGAGAGAGAGATTCATGACAGTGATCTTTGCTCTTCCTCCTAACCCATATTTAAAAAGAGAGGGGCCACATGGGGCAGGAAGAAACAAATGTGCAGAAAAAGCATGACCATGCATTTACAGATCTTACAGCTGGAGATGCACAAACTGCACTTTGTGGTTACTTCCACACAACAAACCTATGACCTATGGGCAGTCAAAAAAACAACTAATTCAGATTGTGAGTGCATCATCGCCTCATCAAATCAACATTCTGAAAGCCAGATAGTGAGGTAGGATGTGTCCTATATGTCTCAACCCAAATGATTTTAGAAGAGAAATCAGTGAAGTGACAACCAAAGAGCAGCAGCAGCATTCTTACTCAGTGTTGGGAAAGACTCAGTTTGTCTTGTTTGAACAAGATAGAGACCAATGATGACTTGCAAAGTTGAAGTTGTGCCGCAGTGAACACTCCTTCTCATTTGCATCGTTTTGCAACTGAATTATGTGCAAGTTACCTTTTCAGACAGGACTAGGTATCAATACCTTATAAACGTTCAGACAGTCATGAAGCAACAAGTGACCTGTGATAGATCTATAAATCTCGCACTAGCGCGCGGGCGTGTGTGTTGGGCAATCCCATGCGTCACCGTGCACAATATTTTCAGTAAAAGCTGCCCCCCCCCCTCTCTTTAATATCATTTTGGAGTCTTGATTCAACTCCACAAAAAAATACACAAATGAACGCAGACCAGATGAGCTCTACAGTCTGAAAGTAATCATAATTTCAGCCATATTGTCAAGAGGGGAGAACAAGGGTAGTCACTCACCAACAAAGACACAAAGAATATCCACCACGATCAGAATCAACTTCTTTCTTTGCTCTGTCATGTTTTCTCCAACGCCGCTTCACTCTCATAAATAAATCGCGTTTTTAAAAAAAAGCAAAGGGCAGAGTTGTAATCTAGGAAACTTCTGGAGAACTATGGAAGAAACTATCTGGACAAGTCGACCTGCTCGTTCTTCCGGCTCCGCTTCCCTGTGTACCTGTCTGCCTGTCCGCCTGTCTGTTTCTCACGTTGCGCTGCTTCAGGTGAGCAGCAGAGGAGGCGTTGCGCTGCTTAGAGCTGCGTCCTGCCTGTCCTGCCTTTTTACGCACAGGGGGCGCGTCTTTCTGCATGAATAGCGCTCTAAAGTCGCCCACAAAGGATTTTACTTCCCGAAATCTTTTTCTCTGCTTTGCATTCTTGATTTGGGTGATCGAATCCAAGCAGAAAAGGGAACTATTATCACTTTTTTTACCACGTGGTAAAAGCATGGCACCCACCTCAAACACCTCATATGGTATATTAGTATAGTAAGAGTAACAGTAGGTCTCACTAACATTGCCTGATTAAAGAGTTTGATTCCCCCAGGGGACAAAAAGTATTTGAGGGTGACTCACACTGAATTGATTTGGAATTTAAGTATTGTATATAATATATACAGAATAGTATTCTTCTTTGGAGAGATAACTTTCACTTATTCATGTCCATATTATGGAAACATTTTTCCCAAGGGAAACAAAAAGGTAGGGATTATACAATAAAGGCGAAAACACCTTTCAGATAAGTGAATAAAAATATTAAGTCAGAAATTTGACTTTTAACGTAAATTCTTTGACCATCACATATCTGACTCAGTAGCTCAGTTTTTACTTTGAAAGTCATAACACCCACAAAAGTCATGGGTTTGACTTTTAATATGCCATAGCTTTGTCTTCCTATGAGCATTTTCATTTTTTTTTATCATTCCTTACTTTTCTTGGCAGAATAATATGGGCATAAAAATGTGATAGCTCTATTTTTAAAGCAGCATACTGTTCATAAGTAGGAAAGCAATGCAGTGTTAGAACCCTTCAGAATCAAACTCTTTAATCTGACATAGTTTATTTCTACCACTGTGTGCTTTACCAAGACGTTTTGACTCCTTATCCTAAGGCTTTTTTTTTCCACAGAAGACATTTTGAGATGTCACAGCAGGAAAAGCACAAGTGTAAATAATACATTTCATGGCTGAAATCAATTTAGCTGCTTCAGTTTCAGTGTCCCGGCATTGTGCGGGCTCACTGTTACACTGCCACGGCTAACTAGGAGACTTGAATAGAGCAGAAACATTGTTAATGTTATTAGTATCACCTGTGCCATAAAAAGGGCGACAAACATATTGAGTAAACTTTCCAGTCTAAAGGATATCTACTCAACTGAAAACACAAGTTATGCAGGACGAATAAGTTATGAATCCAAACTTTCACACACAACATATGTTCTGTTTTAATGTGGAAATGGTGACGCATTGATTTGAATGCACAAACATACTGTACCAATAACATAGACTGAAAATAACTTCATTCCTGAAGTAATCAGTTACAAACACTGATACAAACAATGGCTCATTGTAAGGTTGAGCAGCGTTTTAAGAGGTCTGAATTTCAGATATGTGAGTTTTCAAAGCAAAATGGGGAAACTAAAAAAACTCTAAAGGGGTCACATTGCAAGTATGTAACTGAAAAAATATGTATAGGGGAGAAGAGATGCTGTTAACTGGTAGGAACATCCTAAATAGGTCGTATGTATGATAGCACATTTATAAATAAAGGCGCACTGAATAAAGAAAAATAAAACAGGCACATCAGTGTATACAATATGTACAGAAGACGGTGTTGCAAGCTGCGTTTTGTGTTATTTACATTCCTCAGTATTCAAGCCATGGCTCAAACATTCAGTACAATATGTATGAGCTGTGTACAGTAGCACATTGTCAAAAAACATTATAAAACAGTCACAGTGGTTTAAACATGTACAAAAATGTCACAAGTCAATCACAGATAATAGTGTCCATAAAAACTGTTCAACCTCCTTTGTCTTGTCATATTCAAACTTAGTAGTTAAAATAAAGTAATAGTTAGATGTTTTGAGAAACATGCTTATTGTCTTTCTTGCCTACAGAGTTACATGAAGAGATCGACACCACCGGCATGACTGTACAGTAACTACGAAGCTACAACCTGCAGCCGATTAGCTTAGCTTAGCATAAAGACTGGAAGCAGGGGGAACCAGATACGGTAAGCAAATGAAGTCTATAAATAAGTGTATTTCCCAAAATGTTTAACTATTGCTTTAAAAATGTTTTGGATACTCAGCATTAAAGAATGCCGGAGAAAAACGAATTTCTTGATCAGACTGATTTAAAATAATCCGAAAATTAGTTTCTGATAGACAATCCACTTGTAAAGATTAAATAATGTAATTGATTGGATTGTGTTGTAAAGAAAAAACTGAACGTTTTAATAAAAAAGACAAAGGGGCTGTGCATATGCTTTATGGACACTGTAATAAAACATATATTTTTTTTAAGTCCCTGGCATGAAACTAAATAGCAGAGGAGATGTAAGGATCACACTCCATAGGACAGAGAGAGAAATCCACAAAATCAGAGAGAGGAAAAGGTGAAAAAGTCCCAGTAAAAGTATCACCGGGGCGAGTGAAGGTGTCGGGCTGCAGCGAAGGAACCGAGTTGTTGAGGCTTCGAGAAAAAGTGTGTTGGGGTGACGCGACGTCAGCTGGGTGAGGAGGCAGGACGGAGGAACGAAAGATGCTGCTGAAGTCAGAAGAGGAGACAGGGCTTTGATGCTGACTCAGAAAAAGACGGAAGGATTTTAGTTCATCTGTTTGTGAGAGAGGTGAGTCAGATATGGTGGCGTTCCTGCTCTGCAGAGACGGCTCACTGTCTCCACCTAGCTGCAGCTTAACGTCATTGACAGCGCTTTGCTGCCAGTCATTGGAGTGGAGGTAGGAGAGGGATGGATCAGGTGTAGGGGGACCTTTCAGCGTTGGAGAGAAGAGGACATTGGAGTAGATGGAGGAGCTAGAGGAGCTGGAGGAGAGATCAGCTTTGGAGGTCGTCTGGGCACTAGTTGAGCTTTTGATGCACCTCTTCTCAGATTTTCTGGTATTTTGAGGCGTTTGAGCCTCTGAAACTGGGAGCGGAGAGTAGCAGTATGAGGAATATGTTTGGAGATTACTTTGAGAGCTGAGGTCCAGATCTGGGTCGAAGTTCTGCGGCTCAATTTCACCAAGCAAAATAACGTCAGAGTATTGGATTTCGGTTCTCTCGGCGATTGCAGGCCACTTCATACTCTGAGGTGAAAATCACAAATCTAATTTTATTTACGGAAGTATACAGTTTTCTATTTTCCACTTTTGGCAGCAGAAACAAGTGAACATACAGTATGTTGGGTTTAGGATGGGACAGGGGTTAAACTTTACCTCCGGAGGGCTTTTTGGGGTCCAGTGGGCCATGCTGCTATGGGAAGGATCAGGTACGACTGGACACAGCTTCTGTTTTAGCCTACGAAGTTATTTGTTAGGAAAAACATTACAGAATGAAAAAAATATATATATTATAAAATGATGTGCCAAATGTACGAGGTAGGTAAAACAGTAAAAGTAGGACACTGAACTTTGAGGAGGTGTTTTTGTGTTGTTTAGTGTGGAATGGATGCCTTTGGTGCCTTTTGTGCACGGAGATCTTACCTTTTATTCTGTGCCAGGCAGCCCATCAGCACCAACGCCAGTAAAGTCAGAATGACAGAAAGGATGGCATACAGCTGCATCGGGATTTCCTCAGCCTCTTCACACACATACATACTAAGTTTAGTTAAAGAAACAGCAATATACATATGTGTGTGTGTGTGTGTGTGTGTGTGTGTTTCCAGTCTTTACCTATGTGCACATTAACGATGGGCCCAGCTGCTCCAGCTCCAGCGTCAGTGTTGGCCACCAAACAGATGTTGTAGTTACCAGGTGACAGATCCTTCAGAGAGTAACGGAGATCTTGACCGGGCACAATCTCTTCTGAATAAACAAGAAAAGGAACAACATGGACCAAATGTGATGAAGCAATAAAGAATAGGAATGAAAACAAAGAAAAAAAATACTAAATATGAAAAAACAATTCAATAAAATATCCATGAGCTCACTGTAAGTGTTCATTCTCCCCTCTTAAGGATACAAAGATTAGGACAATCGTGTAATCTGAAGATATTTTACTGTTACCTTTGACAATGTTTTAAGTATATAGTCTGTATCATTGTGTTTTAAATTATTTATGTGGTTGTTTTTGGAACAAAGTGTTGCATTTTATTTGTTTGTTTGAAGGCAAGCCTTAGCTAATGAGTTTAGGATTTAGTATTAAAGTGGTGTTCATGTTTTGAATGCATCACAAACATACCAATACACATGTGTATGTAACCAACAAATCAATGATATATATTTAAAGTCATCTGCTAAAGGAAATGGAAGAAAACTACTGACTCATTTCAACAGAACTACAATTAACGTGTCGAGAAATATAGATGAATGATGTTATCAATGTTGAATATTGGATTTTGAAACAAACGCAAATCTAACACTACTCTCATCCTACTCAAAGACACTCTCAACAGGCCGCTTACTCTCCAGCGTTTCCTTTTACACACATCTGGATTAATGCGTGTGTAAAGTGCGGGCCAGCGTCGCCTCAGCTGGCTTGAAAGTGTGTGTATCACTCACTCCTGTCTTGTTGGTTTGCTGTTGTGTAGAAGATTGTGTAGAAGCGGATGAAACCATGAAGCTGCTCCACAGGTACAGGACTCCACGTGAGCTCCACTCTGCTGCCGGAGATCTTCTGCACCACCACTTTAGGACCAGCCGAGGGCACTATATAAGAGCAGGGGGGGGTGGTGAGGATCACCCACAGAACGCTGGATCTCTGTCTCTATTTCACAACAACTGGTCTGGTTAACTTGTTGTTGCTTCAACCTGCTGAGCAGATGTTGTCTGGTCTGACAATATTGGCTTACAATCAAACAAATTTGGTATTGTTTTCTCACAAACAGGCTGTCATGACTTCATCACCATACCAGCAGAGGCGGAAATTAATAAAATGAAAATAAACACAGCAGCTGGAATTGATTTTCAACAATTTGTTGAATGTTATAGTTCTCTTTTTCTCTGTTGTATGCTTGTTAGAATGTAAAAAGACTGTGAGACAACACCATCATGGTTTGGCAGCAATCAAATTTTTTGGAACACAAGGGAAAAGAAGTCGAGCAAGTACCCAAGTTATAACACAGACAATAGTTTAGCTCACAAACACTAAGTCCTGTGATGTCCTGTCAAAAACTAAATGTATCTTACTGGCAAGTATTGCCTGCAAAGCCAAACTCTTGTTTCTCTGTGCTCTAGACCTCCATTGTTGCAATAATGATGAATTGTTCTGGGTGACATGTTACTTCATTACGATAAACTTGAACACTATAGTTCATTTTTTGTGTTGATACCACATACACCTTCCTGCTGTGTTCAGCAGCAGCTAAAAATATTCCCCCAAAAATGCACAAATGACTCCTGGAGAATGATGTTTCCCAAAAACTACAGTCCCCAGTTATTTTAGGAGATTACAGAGCCTTTAAAAAAAAGAAAAGTATACATTGGTGACCATTTATCTACATCGTAAGTAGAAATGAAGCTGCCCTGGTCTGGACCTACTTTTACCTTTTGGCATGAGACAATGTAGATCACGTACCTCCTTGGCATGTATAAATGGGAAGCGTCCGGTTCTGCCCCGCCCCTCTCTCACCATGCAGCCCTTTGACAGAAACAGCATAACGCTCCATCGGCTTTATACCCTCTAAAACCATAAAAAGATGGAAGTAATTTTCAGTATTGGTGATTCTACTTGATTAATAAAATCTGTTCCATAGCTAATCGCTTCATTATATTATACTGTATATATGATTGAGGGATTGTCTCCACATGGCTCTCAACATGGCGATGGCAATTGGAGGGTGGCTGTTAGGCTTTTTATAAAATTAGCACCTTTAAGAACTAACAGTGGGACATAGTCCTAATATTTTCCACATTAGGCTGTTGTATGTATTGTTGGATTACCTGTGATGATCAGCGCTGTACGGGAACTATTCAGCTTTTCCCAGTAAAGGATGCTACTGGTTTTCACTCTGACAGCAAACCACTCCACTACAAAGCCGCTCGTTGACCTATAAACTGGAGCCATCCAACAAACATCCAAGGCACTGTCATTCAGTCGATCTGCAGTGAATTGGCTCGGGGGTGGTGGCTCTGAAGAGAAGTAATGGAGTAGTTTGAAGGCATGGCTTTATTTACAGTGAAAAGGGTGTTTTTGGTATTTTCAACCTGGAAAAAGAGACTCATGGGGACAGCAATTTATTTTAATTGTTTCGGTATTAAGGGACAGCGCTGCAGACAGCAACCGCTAAACGGGGTGTAATGAGTCTGACAACATAATAGAAAGGACCCTACAGAGAGATAAAACCTTTTTCTCTATCTTTCGCTTTCTGTTTGTTATTGTGTCGTGATGCCAGAAGACACAGTGGAAACTTGTAGTGTTGAGTACAGATAGCATGTTATCGAAAGGATTTTCAATGTCATGGCTGAATATTTAGCTGATTTGGCCAATGTCTAGCGAGGCGTGATTTCAGAATGAGACTTGGTTAGACAATAACAAACTGACTGATCAAGCGAATGGTAAAAAAACAATAAAAAACCAACATGTTATTTGTCGGTGGTCCTTTCCATCAGGTTGTCAGACATTTATAATAACAATCTGAGCTCGTCAGTAACAAAAACAAGCACTTGTTTTCTGTAAATACTGAAACAAAAACAAATTGGTTACCACCATTAGTTGCTTAGACCCACAAATATGGGAGTATAGGGTCAAGTTTGAAAATAAATGAAGTTATCCTCTATTTAATGCATAGACAAAATAATTAATCTCTCCAGTAGAGTTCCAAGGACTTGGGTAACCCTTACAACGGAGTATTGAAACTGAATGCCAGAGAGAATCTTTTTAAAGGGATCAAAGTTACTTAAATGATGGGCAAAGTTGTGTATGGGTAGAATTCAATACTCAGGTCATGATGAACAATAGCATCGATGGCTGTACCTTGATGTCATGACACCCTACCTGTCTCAGAAGCTCCACTGAGCCATATTCGGGCTTCTGGCGAGGTCCCTGCAGAGGTGGAGGCCGTCAGAGCGCAGGAGCATGGTTCAGCAGGCAGGAGCAAGCTGCAGGACGTACTCGTAGGGCGCAAATCTCTGCAGCTCATGTGATCGTTCAGGACCTGGGCGCTTTTTGTCTGACAGGTCACATTGAAGAAGAGAACTCTGCCATTGGCTATAAGGTGAGGCAAGGGCTGAAAACCAACCAGAAACCAGAGAACAAAACGTGAGAAGTAAAAGTCAGCTGATGTGAGATGATGGAGCTTTAAATGAGAAAATGATGTTATGTAAAAAGAGTTTGTATGAAATTCAATTATCTCTTCCTCTTTCTACAGTTATCTCAACTGCGCTCTTAACTTCAATCAGACTATGATGCGTTAAATTAGTCATTTCAGAGAGACATACAAACAAATTAGGGATATTTAGTGAGGGGATGGTGATTAAAAACCAATCGCATCCAAAAGTTATTAAACTGTAAATCTTGACAGCTCAAAGGGACAAAATGAGTCACATGACGCAAATTCACACACACTTCAACACACACACTTCAACACACACACCTTCCAGAGCAGTGAGGTGAGTCTCAAACCGTTCTTGTCTGTTTGTTTCACTTGCCTCCAGAAAGCTGGTGCTTCAGATGGAGCTATATGAGGGAAAGAGGGGAAAAATGTTTTTTAAATACATTGAAGGAGATACAGCAGAATGTTATTGAATACAATAACAATGTGGTGGTGGCATGCATCCGTTTTGTCAGCAGTGAAAACTAGAAAAGACATATGCCTTTAATGACAGGGAAAGTACGAGGTGGAAATGTCTTGTATGTTCATATATCCCTTTCTCATGCGCGTCACTAATTGCTGATGTGTGACAACTTCCTCTATTGCCACCAGCAAGTCAAATAGTTTTTCCCTTTGCAGGGATGTATCTCAACATTTACTGGACGGATCGGCAAAGCCTTTGTATTCTTTCATGGTGTCCAAAGGATGAATCCAAATTACTTTGGTGAACCCCTTTGGTGTTCTCCTGAATTTTACTCTTGTGCCATCTTTTGGACAAATTTTCAATTTGGTTTACTTTGAAAAACATTATTGCTAATTAGCACATATTAGCACATAGCATGCTTACCTTTAACTCAGAGTTTAAACCTGCAAGCATGGCTGTAGATTTTGCGTTCCAATACCCATCTTACCATCTTACCATACTATTTAGTGTGCCAGGAAAAGATTTAGTACGTCCCAATACAAATTATGTTATATGCAGTATGTCAAAAATACCAGGATGTTCTAGTGCATCCGGTTGCATTTTGCAGTACCCAAGCCAACATGCTTTTCTGGCTATTCTGACCCACAAATGTCTGCAAAGCGGATACATGAGCAAGAGGGTTTAGGTTCAAGCAGCAATGACAAAGTAGTATGTGCCAATTTAATGAATACTGCATGCAACAGTACGTACTTTGTAAGGGCAGCTGCAGTATGTACTAAAAGTAAAAAATAAAAGGTTATCAATTTAGAAAGCAATAGAAGTCTTGTGTTTAAAAAAAAAAAAAAAAAAAAAGGCGCTAACTATTTAATTGCGATATCCAGCACTGGTTTCATTATTAAGTAGGACTACAGTGATTAAGTCTTTTATCAAATACACAAGTTTGTCCACTCTGTTTTGTCTCACCGTCCTCTCCTGTCCTTCCCTGTAGGTCCTTGCTCCACGGGCTCCACGGACTCTCTGGTCCTTTGTAGCGATGACGAAGCCTGACAGTGTATAAAGTGTCAGGCCTGAAGAGACAAACCAGGAAGCTGACGTCTTTGACTGTCACGTTTTCCACCTGCACATCAAACTGTACAGGAAAGATAAACGGCACAAAGTAAGATGGAGATTAACTTGTGAGGAAGCTACACATTTGTTTTTATTCTTGAAAGTGGAACGTGAAGGATTTTAATAATAATAATAAAAACATTACAATGTAAAGACATTGTCTTAACTTTATGAAACGGCACCAATAATATTCTGAATGGGATCTTTCATGCAGGTGTGTGTGGTTTTATGTTTAGACATATTTGGAAGTTGCAGACCTGCCCCTGTGCCGTGAACTCTATTTGGGATTTCAGGTCTCCAGATTTGATTTCATCGGGAGACAGAGGAAAGCAACCCGAGACGTAGCTCCAGGTTACGTTCAGACACTGAGGACTCCGACCGACTGACTTTATGCTGTTCAAAATGACTGGAGGCAACATCACTGAGAAAGACAGGAAGAGAAGAGTGAAAAAGAAGTAAGCAGGAACAATACGGGTGCAAGTAAGGGAAGCACAGCAGCCTCACCTTCAGTCCTACCAGGCTGACACCGTCTTTGTGACGATATGCTCCCGTTGCGCCCGTGTGCTGTGATGGTGATGCAAAAGACGTTCCTCACTGTTTTGCCGTGCCGTACCGTGCAGCTGTTGTCAGATGTGGTGCAGGCGAACAGCTTCACAGTTTTGTTTGTTATACTGTGCATCCCCAAATAGACATAAACATAGAAAGAGACACAAACACCAATATAAAAAACAATGTTTCTTTGAGTCCTTCCCTAGACACAATAGTCAAGAAGCATTCACAAACAGGTACAAAACCACAAGCAATCATGGATGCATGCTTTGTCACGCAAATGTATGTGCATCCTATGCATTGCACGTGTCTCAGATGAGTGTGCAGGCACACACACAGTCTTGCAGACATCAGAAGACTGCTGTGTAAAAAAAGTCTAGTTTCTCCATTTGAAACACAATGTTGCAACATGAAGTGAGATGGAAGCTGTCTGACACTTATCGGCTCGATTCATCAAACCACCGTCAAAGTCTCACATGAATGTGAGATTCAAAGCTGATTACAAACTCAAGTATTTGCATAAAGCATACAGAATTATTATCAAACACAAACTTGCAAACATTCAAAATCCCAATGGTTTGCTACTGGTGAAGAGCGACTTGCAAATCTAATTTGATATTGTTTGAAATCTGTCATAAACGCTGATAAACAAAGTTAAAGATTCAATGTTTATCAGTTGTCATTCTACAACACGGAGTTGCGCAATGAAATGCTACGTGTAGTCCCTTGTGGTCTGCTGCACACACTGCAGGAAGGAAAAATAAATAATAATACCAGCCAATCAGAAGATAGAAGTGTAAAATAAACGGAACATAAAATATCAGATATAAAATGTATATCTAAGCCACTATCCGTTTTCTGCTTACCAGCCGCTCAGTAGAACATGCTTATCTTAGCTCAACAGAGGACATGTAAAATGGAAGCTATTTCTCAGGTTGAAGTTTATTGAAGTTTAATTTCATCTTAAAAAGATTAAAGTGTAGGTGACAAATTAAAGAACAAGGCTAGAGTTATTCTTTACTTTTACTAATGTCAACAAGTGTTGTCTGTAGCCAAAGCCTGACATAGCTCATGTGTTATAAAGCTCAATTGTTGTCCAAAAACTATTACTGCAGTTTATTTTGTGTCAATGTCACACAACCCATCCTGTTGCTGCAAATGCTTGCAAGAATACCAAAAGTGTTGCAAATAGTCCCCCTGGCTTCCTCACTACAGTGCCCAGCTGTTTAAGGAGCGTATTAAGCTTATAAAACGACATATTTGTGACATATTCTTTAAAAGGTTTACATCTTAAGTTGGAGTGAGTAGGTTTTGGGCCACAGATACATTAGTCTTTTTAAATATGATCGTCTCTCTACCTTCAGTACCTTTATGCTGCTGTTACGCACCTCTCCGCCTCCCCATCACCGCCCAATCTTCGCAGATTCATCATCTTCATCAACTTCATCAACTTCATCAACTTCATCAACTCATTCTATCAGCCTCATCAGCCACCACCACCACCAGTGTCTGGACTCTACGGGGGGATTTATCTTGCTGCTGCTCCGGGCACACGCCCCTCGACTACAAATCTCCCTGTAGAGTCCAACACCAAAGACTCTGTGAAGACCTTATCATCACATATCATCTGCTCATAATAAACACTTATCTTTTCTTCATCTGACTTGTCTCTCCTGATTGAAATGCTTTCACGCAGAGCACAAGAACTGACTAAATGGGTGATGAGCATGAAAATGATGGAAATCATATGCTATGGCCTTCACAGTAACCAGATTCCAGTTGACGACGTACCAGAGTGTTTGGTGTTCATCCCTCCAGTAAAGGTACCAGAGACTACAGCTGTTATGGAGGCTTGTGGTGGCCCCTGCCAAGACCCTTTACATTGTCTTTTCCCTTTAATTTCTGACCTATCTGTAAATATATCTATATACTGAATTAACATAATTCAGGCTGGAGAATAAAGCCTGTCATTACTAAATCTAAATCAAAAATTGTGTTGGGAAAGAAAATCCTGGAGGGTAATCCATTATTTTCTGTCTATGGCTGGATATCTTAATCTTTTTGTTTTTTTGGGTCTCCCTTATGGCAAAAAACTTCAAAGTGCGGAAGCATGTTTCACCGACTTGTATGTGCCCGAACATGACTTCTAACATATTAAAGGAATGTTTTGGCTTACTCAAAATACAAAAGACCTTCAAGAGTGAAGTTTGTCGTCGGGGTGTCACCAGCCTCCCAATGGCAAGTGACGTTAGCTCGATTCTGGAACACACAGCCAATCAGCCTTGGGGGTCGGGGGTCAGCCTTGGGGGTCGTAACGGAGAAGGCTGGAGGGAAGGCAGAAGATGGAGAGAGGCTGGAGTTAACGGCATGGATGGGCAAGATGCTGCAAGTCCTCCATGAGGAGGTTTGGAGGTTTGTTATGAAGCTATGAGTTTTTTTACAACATGCACAAGCAGTGGTTTGGAAAAACATCTTCATGCAGAACATGCTTTTAGCATTAGCTGTAAGTGAATCTGTTCCATGCGCTAACTGTTGCCTGTCGGCAACACAAACAAACGTAGGATAATTATATCTCAATCCAATCACGTGGGTTGCACACGATTTATTTTCCATCAAATATTTATAAACGTGATGCCATTGCTATTTAGCCTGAGGTTGAAACTGAAGCTCAGACAAGACGGTACAAGATGTTAGGTTAGACTTTCGAGACTCTCCTTGCTGGCTCCGCTTTAACCCAGATATGTGTGGGGATAATGTTGAGAACAGAACCCTAAAATAAGCTGAAAATCCCACATATGTTTGACATACGGCCTAATGCTAACTGGTGAGTCTATTCACCAGACATACTGATGCACTGTCTGTGAAAACCAGATAAACAAGTAGCTGGTATTTATCACACCTACAGTATTGTACACCTGTCAAAACAGGTGTGGTAGTAACTTACCTCCTGCTTGGTGATATGATCGAACATAAAGAATCATAATCCCTCTCCAATAATGATTTATATCCTCCAACCACTACTGGCATCTACACAAATATCAGCACATGTCACCACTCTGGTTCTAACTCAGTCATTCTGCTCTGGATTATAAAAAGGAGAGGATGTTACCCAAAGCGAGTCCGGCCCCCAGCAGGCAGGTCCACACCACAGCCGGTCTCCGCTCCATGACCACCACCTGCTTTCTCCTGACAGTGCACCCCGGCTTACTCACTTTCCCCCATCACACTACCAAGCAACTCAGCTTGAGGACCCTGCACGCTGAACAGCTTCACAAAAGAAGAATACCATAATGTAAGATTTGAGGAAAATTCAGGAACCGACAGTCCAGGATGTAAAAGAATGAATGACTCGGTTTAGTGGTTACGTTTCATCATTTTCCATGGGTTAGCTATGTTGTAATGTTGTAGTGAAATAAGTTTCACTACATTTTTCTTGTTATGAGCTATAATGTCAAGCTCTCGCAGGTTGTTTTTTTTACACTTAGCATTGCAACATAGGACATGTTTTCGCAGCAGTTTTCCCATGTAGAGAAAATTTGACTTCCTAAATGGGTGTGGTGGTCTAGGGTTCTTCCATCAAAATAAAGAGAAAATTTCAGGTCTGACATTTTACCATAAACAGCATATAAACCTCACCTGGGTGTGAAAGCTCAGACTCATCATGTTACAAACACGAGGGAGCAGCCTCAGATCGGGGACCAGCGTAGTATCAGGTACACCAGTAAAATCTCAAGTAAAAGCTCTGAAATAAATCCAACCTTATAACACCTAGACTGGTGACCCTGAGTGAGAGGTGTTGATACAGCTCATTTTTGGAGCTTGTCGTTTGAGGTTGGATTGTACACGGTAAGTCTCCCTGTTTGCATTTATAAACAGTTTGTAAACAGAGTTGAACCAACACTTCTCTGACACAAAAGTGAACTCTACAAGCTTCAAAAATATATATTTTCTGAGATACTTAAATGGAAGTAGAAAACATTGTCCAGTCATAATTTTACTAAGTAAAACTACAAAACACAGCAGAGTGACTGGAATTACCCATGTATCGTAATATTACTGATGCAGCATTTTAAAGTTGCAGCTGTCGAGGTGAAGTTAATTCTGTAATTTCATAATATTCTTAACTTTTGACACATTACATTTTGGGGGTACTAAATGATGTCGTTAGAATGTACTGTGGAAAGATACATGGCCAATATTTTAGTGGGAATGATTCCACATTGTTATTTTGGAATGAAGTTGTATTATTACTTACAATAACTATTCTATTATCATTCATAGCACTTGAACTCTTCTTCTACATATATATTTAACATGCATGTTCAAGATAAGAGTAGTTATAGTTCCTACCTGTCATGCAAACGTCTCCCATGTGCGATGTACACCGTCTTGTCCTATTACATTTGATTAAGAAGATTATCCAAACACAAGAAATTGTAGCCCACTTATTACCCACAGTGCAAAACATAAAATCAATTTGCAAGGATGTAAAACAGAGAAAAGTAAAGCCACAAATCGTCACATTTTAGAAGTTTGAACCAGCAAACTTTATATAAAACTTAACATACATCAAGTAGGAGCCGTCCACCTTTGTCAATTTATTAAAGTAATCATAAATTAATTTCACGATAAACTAAACGAACTACAAAGACTTCTGTACCCACTTCATCAATTGCGCAAGACTTCGCGGACAAGTTTAGAGATACGAGAAATAAAACGCACGAGTGGAAACGGGTTGATCCAAAATCTAGTCCACTTACCGGTGTGTGTGTGCGCCTCGCCGAGTCTATCTATAGCGATTATGGAAGAGCATAGCTGGCTCTCAGGTGACAATAAACACATCTGCTCCCGTAGCTGTGCCTACGGTGTAGAAATGTGATAGACTCTGAATTGTAAGTCGCTTTGGATAAAAGCGTCTGCTAAATGACTGTAATGTAATGTAATATAATCTGTCCCGCCCCGCTGTTTGTCCGTGCCGCACTTCCCTGCGGTTCCAAAGCTGGGGTTCGGGGTCCCCTGGAGGATCGTGGAAATCTCTCGAAATGAGGAATTGATTTCACAATTATGTAAGTCTCATTAAAGAACTAAAGAAAGAAGATAAGCTTTGAAAAAAGGAGCTACACATTCCTACTTACTGTGGGTTGCAACAACAACAAAAACAGTTTAGGACTTAAACTGTCTTTTTTACCCGTGTAAAAGCTGTTATGGTTCATATAGCCTTTTGAAATGTATTATTAATATCGTGACATCTCCCTGCAGAGTTGACTCACTGGCTCTCCGTCTGTGTTAACAATAAATAATTGAAGGATGTTTGTTGCAGGATGTCTCAAAGCAATTTTAGCTGCGGCTACCAATATCTCCCTCCCTGTTAAAAATGACGTTCTCGCAATTAGGCAGGTCGTCTTATTCATAATTGACTAATTAAAAATGCATTACGCACATACCAGTAGCTTACAAGTCCAACCAACGTCATACTTGGTATGAATAATGATACTTAATATCAGCAAATAAGACACGTCACGTTTTTATCACATTGAGGAAAAGCAGAAGACAAAACACTCCTCCGGAGACGAGAGCTCATCTGTCCTAGATTGAGCTACATTTGCGAGGCAGAGGCAGACAGAGCTGTCGTATCCGAGGCGAGGGGCTGGCAGAGCGGGCTGCCTGGCTAACCACGTACGGGTCGTATCCCTCAAACAGAGCGCTCCTCTCTTTGGGACTGGACAGCTCAAGAAGTCTCTGGCTGGCTACGAAGTTTCTTGCCTCTCTGGAGACGGACCAGCACACCGAGCGCTCTCCTTCGAACTTGGGGTGGTCGTGCTTAGGGGCTGAGAAGATGAAATATAATCATGTCAGATAGCAGGCTATGCCACAATAGAGCAAAATGTGACAGACCTACTTGCAAGTAGCTCTATGTGTGCTGACGCTTTGCAGGGTATGTGGGTCATGGCTACAGCCTTAGATTTTGGGCCAAAGCCCTCCAGAACTGGCCTTGTTTTTGGTTGGGCAAGCTGGCATATTCGTGAAGTGGCGACTGCCGTCTGCGTCACTCTGTTCAACTACGGTCACATTTCAGGACATGAATGAGATTATATTAAACAAGCACACACATGCACAGGAGCACAATGTCAGACGCGAGCTGTTCGGAATTAATAAAATAAATGAAACTTGGTCTTAAGCCTCCCATTTTTAGCCGTGCGAGCAGATTGGCTCAAGGGATGGCAACGTTGGTCGGTCAACAACCATTGGATGGATTGGACTGCATTATAAATGAGCTGTTTACACTCAAAGCAGTCTCAAAAAAGTGTAACCAATTATGTTGTTGTCGTACATCTGAAAGTTAAATGTGAAACTTTTAAGGTGTATTATTGCTAAAAGGATATGTGCAAAACCAACAAAAATCAGGAAAATACAAAAGCTGTGAAACCACAGAGCGCAAAGTGATAAAAAAAAACTCCCGCACCAATAAACTGTCTATGACAGAATTAAAGACAACCTTTAAGTCCTTTGAGTTCAGTTGTCAGACTTTCTAAGTACCTGAAAGCCTGGCCTTACAGTTGGCTGTGGAGTTTAAAAGACTTGCTCATTGCATAATTGAAGAGCAGCTAACTCATGATCTACCGCACACACGGCAGTTTCTTAGTAAATGGTTTGTGTGTGTTACTCACGCGAGCAAGCAGCGGGCGTTCCTGCTGCCAGCCAGCTGCAGGGGGCCGAGGTTGAGCCAGACTACACAGCCGATCGGATGGTACGGCACGGAGAGCCCATTCACTCACCTCCCAAATGGGAGAAAGTCTGGGGAAGAAGAAGAAGAGAGTAAACGAGAGCATGAGTGAGAGAGGACACAGAAGTGATAAAGAGCAGCATTTGGTGCGAGTAGGAAAGGAAAAGGTACGAATGTACCAGAACAAACTGGGTGCTGCTCATAGATACGTTGCTCCAGAGTACTCATAGTGGTCAAAAACTCCACTGGGCTCCTTCTAACGGGCTGAGTTTTCCTGGGTTTGGTTTGATAAAAACAACGACTAAATCCATCAAATCAGACATATAAGACTTTGTCGGGGAGAGAACGATAAAGTCCTGACAATGTCTGAAATGAAATGTGCTTCCTGATGTTTTTTTGTCACATTAAAAGCCTTTCTACAATGGCTGTAATTCATGGTACCTTAACATTCTGACTTGATGGAATAAGTTATATACATAAAAAAGGAAGAAACTTAAATATAATCACACGTACATGAATTGTTAGTTTGTCATTAGTAGTAGGCTATTATGCATTAGTAATATTATAATATTAGTATATTTACGTGACTTGAGTGTAGAACCTTTTACTTCTACATAGCTCCGACCAGCGAGGGGTTAACTCTGCAAGGAAAAATAATTATGCACAGAATCACAAAAAAACAGGAGAGGGCAGGTTTGTAAATTGGGAAAACAGTGGAGATGTACCAGTTCTGGTGGTGGATCCGGTCTTTTCTGGTGGCAGCCGATCCAGGAAGTAAACAGAACGACTGGAAGATAAGAAAGAAAGAGACCTCATCAGAGAAAGAGGGAGATGTAGAGAGACAGAGGGGATCCGTTGGGCCTACCGGTCTGGATGTCTGAGTCGGTTGGGTTTGGGTTGAGCGAGTTTATGCGTCTGAGTTGCCATGGACACAGATGAAGCTGATGTGGGGAAACGGAGCACATTACTGCTGTAATTCATCACTTATTGCAACGTAATCAACCTTCACAAACACGACAATAAACAGTGTGCATGAAGGGAATTCAATACCAATGGCGCACTTTATCATTCGTAGATAATGAATGTTATGGTAGTCCGTCATTTCAGTATTAAAATTGCCATAAGCGAGACCCAAAAAAACAAAAAGATTAAAATATCCATCCAGACAGAAAATAATGGATTACCCTCCATTTAAAAGTTCCCTGTGCAGAATTTCCACTAGAAAGCCGCTTTCAGAATGAGCTTTTCGGTATACGAGGCATCTTGTGTTGCATTTATATTATATACTGTATTTACATATTATTGATTATATTGGACTCTGTTAGGGAAAGGAGTAGATGTCATTTTGATATCTTTAGGTGGTTGAATCTTCATTGTAGAGAAACACATTTCAGACACATTTTCAGTCAAAGCTGAGTATTATTTACATATTTTAAGAGATTTCTTGAGTCATTTATCAAGAAAATACTCGAAACATAAGCTGGTTTCAAGCTTTTAAAATGTGAGAATTTGTTGCTCATCTTTAGAATATGTCAGTATGAAGTAAATACGTTTGTGTTTTTGACTGTTGGGCAGAAAACAAGCAATTTGAGGAAGATACCAACTGTAATGCACATTTTTACTACTTCCTGTCATTTCAATGGATTCATTTATAAATAATATCAACATTATGGGGAAAATAACCACTAGTTGCAGGCTTGATTTGACTTAAATGTTCCCATGTAAGCCTACTATTGGTAATATAATACAACTAAGTGTATAATAAACATAAGAAACCAAGCACTCGATACATTCAACCTGTAGCCGATAGCATCAAAGACGTCTAACATGCAGTACGAATAGTACAGATAAAGGTTTATCTTTAACTTGTTACCTGTTCGGTGCCTCGTTCTCTTGTGGTGCCACCGACACCCGCCGGTTACTAGGGGATCGGGTGACGCTGGTGTGGACCTTTTCATTGCCAGTAAGAGCTTTGGTCCCTGTTTACTTCCTGTCAGCTTCTGCACTAACAAATGCTGCTACAAGAAATACAAACGAGCCTATTTAGGTTCTTAATCATGTCAAGTTTGAAAAGGTCTCTACCAAAGATTGTCAATGAAAAAGGGATGGCCGACTCTGTGTCCCCGTTTGGTACACTTAGGTATTCCCCACTTAATCACTTAAAAGGTGACGGTTACTGTTCTGTATTGTGGCCCATATAAATAAAAAATATATCCATCTATAGGTACACAATTCAAAACCATATGCGAGACATTTTAAGTGATTCACATAAACAAGGAGAGATGGAAAGGAAGGGCATCAATACTGGTGTTAACACCACGGATGTGGACGTGTTGAAGTTGAGGAGATAAAGAGCACATTTAACTTACCTTCTCTCACCTCATCTCTACTTCAGTACAGGGACAGTATATGCTGTGAAATGCCTATTTCACAATCATTCATTTAAAATTCAGACACAGAACGCAAAATCAAACAACGCACAGACTATTTAAAAACAGACACTTTTATTTTCAAAAGACATTTAAATTCTTATAAAACAGAACAGTAAATAATCTACCAAAGCTCCTTGAACAGTAATGATCACAAAGCCAAACACTTTCAATATAATACTGCAGTTATTATTCTCTAAACTAGTACCGCAGGAGTCTGCTACTCGGTGAAGTTATACGCAGCTATATAACAGTCACAGTATGTGGAGTGTTTGCTTGATATTGAAACACTTGAAGGATAATAATAGTGTTGTTTGCAGTTACAGTACTTTCTACCGTCTATATCTAGTTTAAATCCCCACGTCTCACATGGAAATAACTGCTGCCTGGGTTGAAAACTCAACCTAGACAACACCAGTGTTATCCTTTAAGTGATCTGGCAGTGTAGTATATTTATGCTCTACAGTAAAAGAGACACGTCTCCATGCAATATTCTGTAGATTCTCCTGTCTCAAGGCAGCTCAAGACATGAGTTTGTCTTTTTATATTCACCTAAAAGTTCCAGCTACCAATCTTAATATCAATGATTACTGATTCTCAGGAGTCCATGGTATTAAAATAAGAGGATTTCAGTGACACAACCAGAATATTCATGAGGCACCGAGCTCTCTTATTAAGCTGACAGTGTAGCTCTTGGGGTAATGTTAAACGGAAAAGATAGCACCTAACAGTCCAATCTCTTGCGGGCAGTTCAGGTAGAATGGCGGTGAAAAGGCATGTAGGAAAATAAGAAGGAAATAGGTAAACATTGAGTATATATTGTATTCAGTAGCACCAATAGAAAGAGTACGCGAGTGCGTCAGTGTCAGAGGGTCTGCACTATGACAGGATACAGTAGGGACATGTGTTCGGCTCCTCTGATAGGCAGCTTGTGTGTAGTGTAGTAGTGGATGACCTCGGGGATGGTGGAGAAGGGAGGGCTGTTCTCCCCGAGCACGTAGCGCCCCTCTGCAGACCGAGTGAACTTCATGTGCATGAAGCCTTTACAGCTCCTGGCAGAGTGAGAAGGGAGAAGGAAATCTATCTTCTTAAGTTTGTAGTCCGGTAAATAAATACGTGTCAGACTTTATCATCAAAAGGGAAAAAAAAATAACACCAAACAGGAAGTACTGAGAGATTCGTCATTCACAGCAGGAGTAAGAGAGCGGAAGTGTCTACCTGAGTGAGAGCGAGTAGTCATTCCGGCAGGTCTGGCTGTTCCTCACCAGGTAGGAGCTCTCTTTGCACAGAGTCAGTAGACTCTCTGCCTCCGAGCGGCTCAGGGCTCCATGGTACCACCTGCAGGAGGAAACACGCCAACAGAAGAGTTTACTCGTGGACTGCCATTGTCTTCATGCCAATTACTTTGTTCCATCAACATGTTTCAATACATAAGTTTAGCTTTCAGCACTGAGGAAAAAAACCTATGACTGAATTATTTGACTTCTGTCTTTACTTGTAACTGCTAACCCTAAATGCTAAATAGGAAATCCTTTTTTGATGCCTGATTTGTGACTTTTGTGTTGCTTTAATTTTTAATCCTGCTCTACCACAGAGACAGTCGAAACAGCCCAATAACGTATACTTATAATGGTGGTAGCCTAAATGGTATATGCTTTTACTTCATCCATCAGATTTCAAAGCAAAGCCATGAATCGTGAGTTATTGTAATAAAAAAGGGAGTAAAGCCAGGGGACACATAACTACACACAACTAAAAGAAATACAACAAAACCCAGTGCTGCCGTCAACCTGTGTGAGCATTCCCAAAAGAAATTAAACCTTTTGGATCAACATACAACTGGAAAGTAATTTCCTCTGTTTGCTCAACTGTGAAGCTATAAAACAACCATTCAAATCCAACTTGTCCCACTGGAGGTGACAAAAAAAATCTTAACATTTTCCTAGTGACACACACACCGCACAGTTAAAAATAAAGATCAGGCATTTGCATTGATTGAAGATTGAACATCAGTTCACCCTTTAAAGACCAGCTGGACTCCCTCCAAGCATTCCTGAGATATCGCGTTAACGACAATGGACTGGACGGACGGCATGAAAACATTTAAAAACACCATCTTTTAACATTTGCAGACGTCCACGTACACTTGTCTCTCCAGTGGCATAGATGGATCCACTCTCTCTCCCAGGAGAGGAGGCGTGTCACCAACCAGCAGGAGTGTAGCCGAGTCAGCTGTGGATGATGCGGTGCCCGTCTTGGTGAGCCGGGTCTGGTCTGTCTGAGCTCGTGAGCGCTCCCGTTCTGCCCCTTCAAACTGAACTATGGCCAGACAGAGATATACAAGTAGGTAAACACACATACGCACACATTTGAAATGTATAGAATGACAATGTCAGTTTACCTGCCAGAGCTTTAGATATGTTGTCCTTCTTCCACTCCCAGGGCTGGTCGTATTCATCAGCCGGCCTCTCATCGTCCCGAGGCAGCCTGCTCTCTCTGCTCTCTATTTGGGCAAATCCAACCTCGACCCTCTGAGTTTGTTGTTGTGCTGCTGGAGCAGTTCGGTGGTAGTGACGAGGCCGCTCCTCGTACGGGTTATCGTATAACTGGCTGCCGTCTGCACTCCCAGACCTGTTATTCATAACGCTGAGCTGCAGTTCTGCACAATAAACAAAGAGTCAAGGACTTTCAAATTTTACCTGAAACCAAAAAAAAAAAAAAAAATGAAAATGTGTGAGAGAAAAATGTCTCATAACAAACCTGAGATAATCCGCTGGGCTTCAAATGGCTCCATGTAGCTGCAGCAGTCTGTTGATGCAGATTTGGGCTCCCAGTGTGGTCTGCCTCTTGGGTCTGGACGGACATCAAATGGATCAGAGTAGTCTGTTTCGGAGTCCGACGCTGCTGGGGCAGAAGGAATCACCTTGGTGGGGAGAGAGAGAAAATATAAGCATCTCACAAACGAATAAACTGGAAATATAACTGTGTGAAATCTATGCGTGTGTGAGAGAAAATGAGTACGCAGAATGAGATAAAGAAGGAATAAAGGAGAAATGCCAAGGAAAAGTAAAGCCGAACACAAACAGTTCTTACAGGTTCCTCTTGAATAGTCACAGGATTTAGGGGCACTTTGCAGCAGCCAAACTCCTGAGAGTCCACTTTAATAAGTCTGTGCTTGGGAGACACCACTTTCACCTGCAACACAACACATGTAAACACAACTTTAAATGTTCAAAATTCACCTCCGTACTCAATGTCAAACGGGAGATCTAGGAGAAAAGACTATAGGCTACATTTAGCGAGACACGGTAAAAACGTACTTCACGTACATGACTGTAAAAAGATGCATGTCATACCTCCACACCATTAGGCAGCACGGAACCGAATGCAGGGAAAGAGGGTAGGCTCACTGTGGCGCTACAGGGGCTGAAACCACCATTCTGATGCTCCTTATCGGGGTGTTGATATGGGTCCTCGAAATCTAGCTCCTTCTGGGCTCTGTAGGCCCTCAAAATCTCACTTTCACTGTAATCTGGCCTCGGGGGCTGTGGAGGGTCACGCCTGGTGCCGAAGTTTAGGTAGTCCTTCAACCACTTTGCCATGGATCTGGGAATGAGGTGGCAAACAGAAAGCTTGCAATTATTAAGGATGACAAAGTGCTGGAACATGTTTTTTGAAAAGAAAGAATTAGACAAATGACCACAAGATCTTGCATCAGGGCCATAAAAGATATACTCGTTGACCTAATTGCTAATTAAACACTGAGAAAGAAATAATGCAACACCAGCCAAATGTGTAACATTGAGTTGGGCCTATAGCAAGTATTATAAGTAAAGCAGGCTAATAATCCCCACGAGGACTTGATTGTCTTTAGCATAATATTATATGAATTTAGCTAACGCTAGAGTTAAATCCCCAGAAGAACTGATCATGCTCGGAGAAATAAAGGCGTTAGCATCAATCAATCAACAGGTCCAGCAGAAAGAGCCTATTTTTGACAACAAAGGTCAACCATTGACAATAGCTAGTTAGCATTAGGGGGTAAATTAGGGGGTTTCAATCAATCACATAACGTTATTCATCATAGTAACGCTAGATTAAGGTCAGCATTTTCTTCACTATTAGCACCAAGCTAAATATGTAGACACATACCGCTGATATGTTATTTATCAAAACCAAGTAAAGGGTTAAAGTAATGTGACTCGTACACTTGATGGTGAATGCTCAGTAAATATGCCAAAGCTAAGTTAGCTGGATAGCAGCTAACGTCGAAGCGGCTCAACCGTTGACTGACGTTGACTGCTAACGTTACTTCTTTACGCTCACCCTCTTTCTTTGCATTGACGGCGTCCCGTTCCAGTTATGTCTTCCAGCTTACCATCCGGCGTGTCGTTGTTAACGTTATTAGGCCTCAAAATAAAACATTGTTATCCGTGAAATCCGTTCTGCTTTCTCAGCCAAGCAGGTCAGTCCGCTAATGTTAGCTGGACCAGACGAGACCGTGGAGCAGACACAACACTCACTGGCGCGGAGGACTGTCTTAAAGGGGCATAGGGAGATGTTTTTGGTTGGCCGACATTAATGCTGTCAATGTGCAACGTTAGTGGATTTGTGACTCAGTGTGACTAGTACTTAATCCACAAATGCAATCATTTGTCTCACAGCTGCAGTTCGAGTAATTCAGACTGATGTGTCTTCTTGTGGTCTGATATATAATAACATATTGATGCAGATATGACAACCTTATAGGCATTAACTTTAATGGCAATGATAGAAAACCACTAAGCTGTATAAGAGGCCCTGAAAAGACAAGACATCGATGCTATTAATGCATTATTTGAATATTGAATATCTACAGCTCCGTACCAACAAGCAAACTCCCAGATATCATACTATCAACATTGCATCACCCAGCTCTAATAGAAATCAGATGAAATTTATGAATGAATAATTAAAATCACATTTAATGGTCCACACAAATGTTAAATTACATAGCATCAAAAGAGAGGTGTTGCAAGATATCAAAGCATGTCAAGGACAAGGAGTTGAAGTTAAACAGATTTTAATAAACACTAAAATATACACCTGATATTTTCATAGGGCAAATTTGACTCACAAAAAAAGAAAACATTACTATTTTTTTCAAGGTAAAATTCTCAGGAAAGTCCTTGAACAGCAGACTAAAATCCCTGCTAATGACTGCCCACCAACACTTTATCAGTCACTTCTTTAGAGAAAGGATATTTATAGGATAGACCCTCAAACTGGTTTATACGTGATTTTGATTTCTGTGCAGCAATTACAAAAATGGTCCAAATCCCTATATTTCTTCATACATCATTTATACAATTGTGTGTCCGTCGCTCAAATCAAAAAGACATCCCAAGCATCTTCTATTCATTCGCTGTCATCGCTGTCACTGTCTGAATACGCCCCCAGCAGGCTGAGAGAAGATGACCCATTTTGTGTGGTAACAGGCTTGGAGGCATTGTTGGAGTCAGCCGTAGACGCCTTTGAATCTGTAAAACAAGAGAAACAATTGCCGTGCCTTCCAAATCATATTCAAACTTTTGATGAAAGACGCAAACAAGCAACGAAATAAAATCTGGAAATGTACAAAAAGAAATAAGTTGGTGCTCATGGGAACAGAAACGGACAAAGGAAATAAATCAAAGAGAGGAACTAAAGATTTCAGCAGAGGCTATAAAAGAGTTTCATATAAGATGTAGGAGATACTGATGCGTTACCTGTTTGTGAAAGGGGAGCAGCAGCTGCTGCCACTGGTCTGGGTTTGTTGACAGCCACCGCTGGTTTCTTTCTCACGACCAGAGACCCCAGTGCCCCTTTACCGCCCAGCGTCCCCACACTCCTCTCCCAGCTCTCCACCTTGGCCTTCTTCACTCCTCCAGCTGAGGTTCCCTGTGGAAACACAGCATGAAACAATCTAGTACTTCCTGCTCATAGGACGGCTTCTTTAAGATGTACAATATATGCGTACAATCCAGCTTCATGGTTCGCTCTCCTTAAGCCATATTGGAGTGGTATTAAGAAACAGTTTAAAGTGTTCAACCAGTGAAACCCGGGGTGACTTTATTGTGAAGCCGCCACTTGAAACACGATGACTTTGTAACCGAGCTTCACACTGACAGCAATAGTTCATCAAGAATACAAAACAAGATGTGGTTATTTTTGGGCATCGTTTGTTAAATATTGCACGAACCAGAAGGAGCAAGAGGAACAATGAGCTCTCAGATGAAGGATTTCAGGCTACAGGACTAAAATATTGAGGGTTTAAATTGAAATATGTTAAAAGAAACCTTGACAGATACTTGAAGCTGTCATTCACTGAATCGGGGACACACTAGACATGTGAGTGGTCACACGTACCTGTGACTCTGTGGGTTTGACTGTAGTGAGGATGTCTGTTGGTTTGTCTGTGCTGGGTTTCTTTGACTCGGAGCTGCTGCTCTCCTCTTCCCTCTCTGAATCAGAGTCCGAGTCTCGGATTCTTTTCACAAGGGCACGATCCAGCATCTCTCTGTGAAACAATAAACGCATCCAGTTTTAATTGGGTTTTTAATGACTACTGCTCTGAGCTCCCACTGATATGAAGAGGAATACATATAATAAAACCCATTCAAAAACATAAGCAGAGATCAAAGTTGCATCTGTTAGCATTTGTTATGTATTCTTTATGTCCGTCAGTGTTTGATATCTAAATGATTCTAGCAAACACATTTTTATGACTTAAATGTACAATTGAAAAACATTCTTTAACTACCCATTGTCTATATAAACTTCCCTCACTCACATTGTCTCTCGCTCATCCTCTTCTTTCTCCCTCTCCTTGTCTCTCTTCTCCTGGTCTCTGTACCGGTCGATCATTCCCTCAAAGTCCACCTGAGCCTGCCTCTGGTTCAGCTCCTTCAGCTCCTGAAGGTTCTCCAGCACCTCCATCTCCATCTTGGAATCCTTTGTGCGGTTCTCCAACACCTTTTAGAGGATTGGGAAATCATCAACTCTTCATTCCTATTGGCAATTAAAAATAATAACAGGAAATTGCATTTAAACACTGACCTTCATGGGGTTGTTCAGTTCCTCTTCTTCCCTCTCCTGTACGACTCTCTTCTCCTCCTCCTCGATCAGTTTCTCTGCTTGGAAGTTTCTTGTTGCACCGTGCTCCATTGCATAGTCTGTGTTCTCTGGGTCAGTCTGTAGTCACAACATGTCATAAGGAAGTGTGAGAAACTAATTTATCCATAATGCTGGAGATGTCTCGTTCACAAAATAGCACAGACACAGCTCTATATATTACCTTTACTTACTAGTATTTGTTTTGTATCAAATCATTAAATATCATAGCTACAATCAGTGCATTGAATACTCTCACCTTAAACGTAATCTCAGCGAGGCATCGAGTACATTTGATGTAGAAACGGAAGATGGGAAGTCCCATGTACAGCTCATTCATCACAGTTTCTTTACGTGCATTGAACTTCTTCCCCTTGTAGATGTACTCTCCGCATGTTTTACACCTGCAAACAACCAGAGAGGCAATGCTGATGAACACAGTCACGTGACCCATTAACAGTGTTTTACCAAGAGGGCTCAGCGGGATCCTTACTTTCTCAGTCAACTTGAAAAATACAGAGAAACCATTTACAAGTTTAGTTTTACGAGGCCTTCATTAAGGCAATTTGTATTGTTGTCAACAGAGGCATACAAAATTTCCAGCTGCAACCTCCTTTGACTGTACTGCGATCTTAAAACTATATTCAGAATCAGAGCCAGATCATTACATTAGCAGGGACAATATTATGGACCAATTGTAGCTCAACGTACATGTATCAGAATCTCTGTACATGTTGGCTGAGGAATAACGGGCTTTGATTTGTTGATGTTTTCTAACACATGCTTTCTGGGACAAAGACGGATCCCTGGGTGGAAGGACAGAGCATCTAATTTCCCAAGCGATACCCCCTTCTCCTCTCCACTCAACTATTATTCTATTCAATGAGGCTATCAAGCTACTGGAACTTTGTTCTGAGATCCTGGATGTAAATATGTGACAACTACTGCTGTTTGTATTTGTGCATTGAAAACAAGCTCCTTTAACCATGTAATGAAACATCATCCAGCTGTGTGAGAATGTGGAGCGTGGATGAAAAACACAAACCTCATGTTGAATGGAGCCATCAATCTGACTACATATTGACGATCTTTAGGGAGTTTAAGTTTGGGGATTTTGGCTGGATCAAAATCCGGGGGGTAGTATTTCTGTGGAAGAAAAAAACACAAACGTGAGTAACTGAAAAGAGGGAAACATGTATTAAAACTAACAGTAAATATGTAGTAGCAGTAGTAACAATGGAGGTTGATTCCTGTAGAAAGTGACTGTAGCTGACACCTTATGTACATAAGATTTCGCAAATGAACAGTTGAAACAAACCTAGCAAACCACTACGGAATAGTAATCCTCGTTATTACCAGTACACTTAGCTTCAAAGCCAACGTTAGCCTGCTTGGCGCATAGGGCTAACGTTAACTGTTTTAACCGTTGCAAAAGAGGCACATCGTTCATATACTTACATTTAATACTTTTCTTTCAGACATTGTTGCTTTTGCTGGAAACCCAACGTGGAGAACAAACCGTTGGAATAATTAGATTGAGAGCTATTTCCACAACAGTGCTAGCTGCTTGTAGGCTGCACTGTACACTTCCGGTTGTCTCATTATTAGCATCACGAGCTGCACTTCAAAGTGTGCTGCTGCCCCCCTGCGGCAGGGGTGAGCATCTACAACAGCAGCCATCAGTTCCTGAAGGCATAAAACGTTAACATAAAACAGGAAGACAGTGATATAATCAGATGAATAGAGACAATTACAGGGAAGTAAAACATAATCATTTGTTTTCTATTAATATAAATATTGGCTTGTCTGTGTTAATTTCTCCGAAAGGGTTCAGTTAAAATTTGTTTTGTAATTTTCTCCTCCGATAGATATTCTGCTGAATGGTCGACCATCCTGGCACCACACTATGGCCTAATATTAATAAATGGTACGAAATTGCTCTGTGACCTGCTGTGGAAAGCAATGGAATAATAGAAATATACTCTTGTGATTATACTTTACAGTGTAATGAGATCCCAGTGCATCTGTCATGACAGTGTGATATAATGCAATGAAAGTTACACAGACACACACACATTTCAGAATAATCATATATCTGTAAAATAATTGAAATGCTAAAATACATTGTGTATTTTGTGTATATACAAACACACATAAATACTGTGCCAAACACCCCAAACCTCGAAATATTTTTAAATTGCTTTTATTCAACCTGAATGAGTCATAGGCTTCATATATTGACCACTGCCCTTATTTTGATCCTTAGCCTTTTTCAGGAGACAGATTGTCTCAATATAAGAGAATGAGAGATTGGATCAATATAATGGAAGAATTGTCATTGACATGGGGTCATACATACACACACACACACACACACACAGACACACACACACAGACACACACACACACACATACACACTAGAGGGCAGTTAAGGTTATTCCTACAAAAGGAAATTGGATCCTGATAACAGATTGGTGTCAATGTGGGTTAACCTGAGGTCAGATTTCAGTCTAATTGAACAGCGGTGACAAGAGAAGATAGGCAGAATAGATTAGCAGCAAAAAATTGAATGTTTCTAAAAGTTACCCTCCACAAGAGGTAGTCAATACTATTTCATGTTTAAGATAAAAACCTAACTGGGCTGCGTTCTTTTCCGATTGGATTTGACAGATTTACAGTTTTCCGAAGTGTAACTTTTATGATGTGGTGGGATTTCAGCCTGATTCTGACACATCAAAATGACTCATGAATGAGTCAGATGTGTGTTGAACTGAAAAGGCTTACTTTGCAGACCATAGATTGAGATTTCAAACTGAACTAAGATTGGAATATGGTGATGAAAGTTTAATTCCCACTCAGCAAATAAATTACGTGATCAAATATGTTTTGTGAAATGTAAATCCACCTTCCAACCTTCCCTGATTTCATCCTGTCAGGCCCCTTCCTCTAAAGATACAAAAGGTGCTGAGCAGTGTCACCAGTGTCGAAACCTTTCATGAATATTTCAGAGGGTGGCTGATGTCAACAGCAGCCGTAAAGCGCCTATAAAGAGGGGGTCCCTTTACAGAAGACGTCCAAACCTTCACAGAGCAACCGCAGACTTCCCACTCCACTTTTCTCCACTCGCCAAAAAGAGACTGCTTCAATTTTTGTGTCAGCACCATGGTCGGCGCTCGGGCTCTCCTCACGGTCACCTGCTGCTGCGCCTACCTGTGGCTCGCTCATGCAGAAGACTCCTCCATGGAGACGCGCTCGTTGGATTTCCCTCTGAAAACCCAACAGGAGAAAGACCTGGTGAGAGATTTTACCAGGGGTTTGGATGTGAAATGTCAGCAGGATGAATGAAGGCTGTTGAACGATGCGCAAAAATAAACATTGTTCGAGAAAGTGACTCTCTTACAAAAAGATTAATAGCACACGCATAAAAGAAAACGTTGATCTTTTAAATTTAAAGAATGAGTTTTCCTCAAAATGAACACGTGTCAAGTTTTAATATATTTGATGAATATTTTACTTTTTGGCATTTCTTTGCAGATTGACGCGTTGCAAGAAGTTTTGGAGAAGCTGAGGAGCAAAGATATGCCCTTAGAGAAAAAGCATGGTTGGCTGCCTTCGGTAGGTGTAAGATATTATAAAACTGCTTAATTAGTTTATTATTTCCAGGACAGAATATGTTTATTTATAAATACATTTGAAAAAGTCTATGTTTGTGAAATTCATTGAATTTATAATATCTACAAATATGCTAAAATAGAAGATTTTCGTAGATGTGATTTCTGGTGTCTCAGAGCATATTTGACGAGGATTTGTCCTGTTCATAAAATGTATTTTGAAATAAGTGTTTGAACATGGAAATCAATGCATACGCATAACCTTCTGACTTTTGTATGACCATTACTTTTGAAACACAGTTTTTTTTTTATCAAGAAAACGAGTGAACAACAATATCCCTATTTTCATGAATTTATGTTGCTTTTGTCGTTCCAGTGTGACGCCGGGGAGCCGTGCGCCGTGCGTAAAGGCGCGCGCATTGGCACGCTGTGCAGCTGTCCCCGGGGTACTACCTGTAACTTTTATGTTCTCAAATGTTTGTGAAGGAAAATAATGGGAAAAATTAATGACATATGTGATTATAAATGATGTTTTTATTTGACAAATTTAGACTACAAAATGTTACGTTATGTTTTGAATAGATCTAACGTGTTCTTCCACCGTGGAAGTTATTTGTGTGGGATTGTGGCATCTTGTGAAATACTTTGTATGTTTTTGTCATAAATTATTTTCACCCCTGTAATTGTGTTTGTTGTTCCTGCTATGGGGGAGATAGCAAAGCTATAAGCAACGATTTCTAAACACATTTGTAAGATAAGGTCAATAAATAAACTAAATTATATCCAAGTGTTTGTGTATCTGTTGTACTGTTATATACAAACGAGGGGTTACAGTATGCAGTATTATAAAATGCACCACCTCAATTGTAGTCTTGAAACTAGAGGATCGTCATTTTCCCGCAAAATCCTTGTTGGAAAATTGCTTTTGATTACAATTACAGCACTAAAAAACACTTATGGGACGACAATAAAGAAAATATATATTGATTCGTTTTTGCCACGCGTCATCAATAATGCCGCCTCTAAACATTCAACAATGCACGACTGCATTCCGGCACACCAGCTGTCATCTCTCTCTGCAATAAAAAGCGCTGTCAGGATTTTTCAATGACATCACATCCAAGAGCAAGTTTCCAACATGGCGTCCAGCCGGGTGTCGGAGAGGGAGGTCCAGGAGGAGTCGAGGCGCGCCGCGACCGCAAACCCCGACTTGAGCCTCCACAAATACTCCCTGCTCATCATTGTAGGACGGACCGCAAACCTCAGACAGACGGGACCCATCAGCAGGGAGATTGAACGAGGTACGTTTACGTCAACGCCTCTTAATGCTTGCTGCATGTCGTTTTGCTTTTCTCTATATTTGGATAAAATACTCAGAAGCCTGCAAGTTCTCGTCGACTGAATCATCATCGAGGATGCTACACTGACCCCATTGCAGTGTTTATGTAATTGTATTCACCCCGCTGATCGGAGGATGCGTCATCTGGCAATACTCCACAATCAGCATCACCTCACCCCTCTGGGCACATTATAATTAAAAGCAGTCTGCAGCGGGTGGTTTGTCTTTTTTCTCAGTATATCGTTATACAAGGAGAAGCTTTGGGGGAAATGTTGCATGGCGAATATTCAGTCCAACATAGCCACTTGTAAACGATGTGCCATAACCTTTGTGTGCTAATGTACAGCTGTAACTGTGGAGACTGCAGGCAGTGGTAGACAGACTGTGTTGTACTGTGTAAGCAAACAGCTATAAATGCAGATTTGAGTGCAGACAGTTTATGTGCATACAGGCTGTAGATAGATAAGGGAACAGCGGAAACACGAGACAGATACAGATATTTATCATTTAGGCCTATAAACATTTCATGGCTGCATCTCCAAAATGTCAGTTTTTCATGAAATAAGAAAAACAGCCTTTTTTTTCAGCAGTGTGACATCAGGCATTTTTTAAAGGTTTTGGCAATGTATTTAAATGGTTTATTCATCTAAAGAATAGTCTAAAGTTAAAATCACCAAATGGTTTTCTTCTTTCTTATCTGTTGTGTAATACCCTCACTGGCCACTTGATTACAGCTGCTCTGCCATCAATGTGAACACTTTCACAAAGCTTATGAGTTTTCAGTTTTTGTTGATACTATCAGATGATTCTACTTTAGGTTTCTTATGATTGTAAATTTAGTGGTGCAGTTTTACGAAATATTTTTGACCCAACTCAACCCCTTTCCATTTTCTTGTAATGAAAAGTTTCAGTCCCAACACATTGAAAAGAAAGAACCATATGTTTGAATTTTGACAACATTTAACTATTACACCTTTGATGGTCTTCATGTAGACTCCAGTTAATAATCTGTTCCATTTAGACGTTACTCATGATTTGCGGCAAAAAAATAGAATGAGAAATATTTACCATTTTAATGTTTTTAAATGTCCAATACTTATATGGATTACTTCAGTGTAATCAAAAATGTCTCCTATCAACTTGCACTTATACTTGCATAAATGCCTAAATCGACATACACTGGTGTTTGAGTTTTGTAATGGAAAATTTCTACTTAGTATATTGTCTAAATGCTTAAGTGCTTGTACTATTGCTCTGAACTTAACATACGTGCTGAAATGTATCTTGCTGTTTGTGTAATAGAAACTTGATATTCTTATGAGTAGAACGGTTTTATTTACTTGTTGTGATACATGCAGTCTATCATATGCTTGCATCATGAGACTTGTGATCCATGCAGCAGCTGAATGTCTGCCCCCATATCCTCTTCTTCTCTGTGTTGGATAACAAGTACCTATTGTATATTCACATGTCCTATGCCTTAAGGATAAAACATATATGTCTGTGTGTCTGTTGTAACACAGATAAAGCACCTCTTATACTTTACTACCATGGCCTGCACGGCCTGAAACAGGATGTTCCAGTACACAGGCCCCAACCCTTGATCACTCTTGTATATAACTCTGTGTGATTTTTACTTCTGGAGTGCACACTTCTACAGAGTCCGAGTGACTCTGTGTAACTGTGCCTCTTCTCTGGCCAGAGAATAAATACTTTTGAAAGACAAGTTATGTTTGACAATATTCTTCATTTCAGCTTAAAAAGACTCAACAGCGGGCAAAATAATTTTCCCACCACAGTTTACTAGAAAATGTACAAATTTCACACTGTGTTTTGTGAATATTTGGACCCTTATGTTGTTTTTGACAGAGTGAAACCGATTGTTACCCCATGTGACAGTGTATCTTTTATGTCTCCAGGTATTCAGTCATGGGACATCGACTTAAGATCCTGTAACCTGAATCTCTATCTCCAAGAGTTTCTCTCCCAACACACGGCGTCTTTCAAGGGTGCAGGTCAGTAATAATAAGTTAATTTGACCCTTTATCGCGAAGAAAGCCACGTGCTCATGGTAACTCTCCAGTTCGACTGGTCTAGGGTCCACAAGGAAGGAAGGAAGGAAGGAAGGAAGGAAAGTAGAGGCGCAGTCGAGTGATTGTTAAACATGGGTGGGCCTGTCGAACAAAAAACAATGGAGAACTGTAACCAAGCTGTGCCACCTCTCTTTCTGTATGCAGCCTTTTAGTATGCAGAGCCAAGGACAACCAGGGAAAAAAAAAAATTAAAAAAAGGGAGGCCAAATAGCAGCCAAAGGTTGCCTATGTGGTAAATATTACTGCAGCTACTTATCCTTTAATAATGGTTGAGCTTACATGTTATTTTAGGGTTTTGTAAAACAATTAGGCCTTTTGTTTTAGCTTCAGAGGCTGTTGGGCAGATTTTGTTATCTTTGCACCAGAGCCAGGCTAGCCGTTTCCCCATATTTCCAGTCTTTATGCTAAGCTAAGCTAACCGGCTACTGGTTGTAGCATCACATTTAGCACACAGACGCGAGTCAGGCATTGATCTTCTCACCCAAGTCTCGGCAAGAAAGCAAGCCAATTTAATTCACAAATTGTCTTGAATCACAAAAATGTTTCACATTTAAACTCGTGCATGCTGCTGTTTCACAAACCGGTGAGCCAGTGAGGAATGGCAACCACTTTTGATTCTGACTTAAAGAAACGTTGGTAATTATTTGAGTCATTATTTTCCAGTTGGCTGTGTTCCCTCTGTATCCTCAAAGGTTCATCCAGTTCCCCTCAGACTGGATATTCACTGCAGATTGAGTTAATTTGGCATCTCATCCTCAGACGGTCCCTCTGACTCAGCAGTTCTTCCTTCCTCTTTTTCGTTGAGGGAGTCAATCTCCCGCCCGGGTATCCCAGTTCGCTTTTTTTTTTTTTTTTTTTTTTTTTTTTTTTAAATTGACTTCTTTGAGTTCCGCTCCTATTTGCCTCTGGCCTCTTGCCCCCTGCTCAGATCTGACTTCAGCTCTTGTTATCTTCCCCTTGGCTGTCGGCCTGTCTGTCCCTTCATTTCTAATCTCTGTTTTTTCTCTGCCTCCTCAGGGCAGAAGTGTCTGCGCCACAGTACCAGAGTGTTGGACACTCAGGTGCTGATCAGTCCATCTCAGGAACAGGTTCATTCAGAGGTGAGGGGTTGAATCCTGACTCTTTCAAAAATACTTGGGAGTTCTTGAATAATAGTGAACCAAGCCAGGTGTTATCGTGATGCAGTGATGCCGAGTTCAGATTGGATTTAAAAATGATTTTGTTGCTTCTATTTTGATTCAATTCTGATAGTCTCATGATTTACATATGATTATATATAGTCCAAATATACTGAAGTATTCTCATATTATTGTAATGAGGGCCGCAGCATTTGTTTTTTCACAACAGGTTCAACCTGTGATTATTTAGAGTTCATGTCTTCAAACGGCGTCTTTTGTCAAACAGTCCAAAAACCAAAGATATTTAATTGGCAATAATATTAAAAAAGGTTTTACCAGAAAATGATCACATTTAAAAAGCTAAATACTATTTTTGCTTGTGACTCAAATGTGATAAATAAATTGTTAAAACAGTTACTTTTAAGCTGATTGAGCTCAAAAGGCCTGTTATGGATTATTCTCACTCTCCTTGTATTTTATTTGTCTCTGAAGCCTTTCTTTTACAGTTGATTATGGGGAAAAATAAAAATCTTACCATCTCTGTCTGTCCTGGTCAGGTGTTTGCTCTGCTGTCCAGGGAATCGGCCCATAAGCTGTTAATCTTGGCTGGTCAGAGCGTGGAGGAAAGTGGAGACCTGCTGTTTCACAGAGGACTGTTCTCACCACAGCAGCTGAAACAAATACTAACAGAGCAGGTACGACAAAGTGTCTCTCTGGCTTTTATTTTCCGCACCAATAAATGTTTGGATGCTTTTTCAGCTGCTTTGAATTGAGTAATTGTTTCATAGTTTATTTTACTGCTAAACTCAGAAATCATCAGCAGCAGCTTCTGCGTTAAATATAAACAAACGTGTCATCAAGATGGGGAAGAGAAGCTGACCTATATTGGATTTAGGCAGACTCCGATGTTAATATTTGAGAATCAACAAACAGCTAATATTGTATTTATTTATTTTATGATAATTAACATTGGCCCAGCTGGTTCATCATTTGGCCTGTATACTAAAGTATCTAAAAAAAAAAAATGCTCTGATTGTAGTTCATAGATCAAGAGAGCTCTGCCGCCTCCTCCAAACTCAGTTTGACCCTCGGCTGTCCCAACATCGGCCAGTGGAGGAAGACTCTCTTGGGGAACCAGCCATTCACGCTGCACATCAATCCCCCAGAGGTGCTGCCTGCCATGGAGGCTCTAGGGGAATTCACCTCCCTCATCTCTGGTACTCTTTCCCCTCCATCTCCCTTTGACCTCTTGCCTCCTCCCATCACCGTGGGTTTTCTCAAGCTGTCCCGCCCCTGCTGCTACGTGTTCCCCGCTGGCCGCGGTGACTGTGCCTTTTTTGCCGTTAACGGGTTCACGGTGCTGGTGGATGGCGGCTCGGACTCTCAGGCCTGTTTTTGGAAGCTGGTCCGACACCTCGACCGGGTTGATGCCGTTTTGTTGACGCACATTGGGACAGAAAACCTCCTCGGGGTCAACGTCTTCCTGGAGAGGAAGGTGGCTGAGTTGGAGCTGAGCTCTGATATCAAAGGTAAGAAGTCAAGTCCATTCAATCGTAAAGCCAAAAATCACAAATTTGCCTCAGCCTCAAACTACACAGTCGTTTTACCAGATGTCCACCTGTGTCGGTAGACCCTTGGTTTGGATAAGGAAAAACTTTTAACGGGGAAAAAAAAAGTAAAAAAAAGTTTGGGATGTGTGTGTATTCATCTTTACCCCTTTCGTGTTCAAATTCCCCTTTTGTCTCCGTGTCTTAATATTCTTTTATCTGAACAGATGACTCGTCTAAGAGGTTAATCTCCCCAGAGCTTGGAGTCGTGTTCTTAAACGCCCCCAGCAGGCTGCAGGTGGATGAACAGCCTTGTG